CTGCTCTTTGCAAACAGAGAAATGTTTAATTTTGGACTTTCTTTTTGATGCGATTCTAGCAAATTTGGTTCCATTTAATTTTATATATATATTTTTTTTTCCTTCCCTGTCCATTCATTCATGTCATTTATGACAGATTTTTCTTTTCCTCCTCATAATCTAAATTCCTTGTTAACAGTTCTGACGAGAGGGGACGAAACCGGTCGACTGTTGTGTTTTATTTTAAACTTATCAAAATTTACAATACTACATTTCTAGTTTTTAATGCCTTAATATATATATATATATATATATATATATATATATATATATATATTTATGGGTATATGTGTGTGTATATGTGTATACTCCTATATATGTGTATTAACATAGAAATATAGGTCCTTAATAGATTTAGATAATCGTTATATTTATTTTTATATGTTTATATCTGATCTGTAACCTGTAGTCGATATTTTGTTTTTGTCAAATTTTTTTAATTACACAGCGGCCCTTTTTATAAATACCTTTCGGTTTTATTTTCCCGCCCCATCTCTCTCCCCACCCCTTCTTCTTTTCTTTAAATGAATAAATAATATCTTCTTCTGATCTTTAAGATTAGATCGTCTATATTGTGTGTATGTCACCACAAAATGTATCCTTTCTGGTTTCATCTTTAATGTATTAGACATCCGACAACATTCATATTTCTCTCACTTAAACCTTCTTTGACTCCCCTCTCTAAATATTTCTCTAAAATTATTTAAATTTTAATCCTCACCTTTCTCGTCTGTTACCCCTCTCTATAGCTCTAACATTCAATGAAATTTCTCAAACTTACACTTAAACTCTAAATTTTATTTTTTATTTCGGAGTTGTTTTTTTTTTTTTTTTTTGAATTTGTAGGTCTGATGAATTGGATCATATTTACGATTTTAATGGTATAAATTATGACCTAGGAATATTAGTGTTTAACAATTTTTATTATAATAAAATTTCTGTCCTGGACATTGAGTTCTACCTATCGATTCTATCCTCTTGAAATTTTTATAAAAAATATATATGTATGTGTATGCATGTATGTATATATATTTATATATTTATATATGTATATGCATATTTACCACTATATATATATATATATATATATATATATATATATATATATATATATATATATATATATATATATTGGTGGACTCTTTAGTCGTGTTCAATATACGAGAGTCAAGTAATTCAGTTCTAGAATTCGACAGCCCAGACAACAGCACATTGATTTGATTATAGTGGTGAAGGCTTTGAGTAAATGAAGAACCAACCAAACTTTTTGAAAGGGCCGAATACAAGACCTGGTGCACTATTTGCCATAAGGTCCCTATTTGACCCTCCACGGGTTTTGAATTCAGAGTTGTCCTGAAATAATATAGACCAGTTGCCATACAAGGATAGAGATCATAGTAAAAATTATATTTACCCATAGCTGGAAGGAGAAGAAGAGGATTAAAAATTTTAAATAAGGGTATTATATATATATTTTTATATATATATATATATATATATATATATATATGGATTAATAATAACAATATATATATTCATACACGTTTAATTAAATAATATAGACAAGTGTTGTCTATTTATTTTATGTATTTTTTTTCGTAACATCTGATAGGTTTAATAACATTATCGTTGAACGAAAAAAGAAATTCACAATAGTGATCCATACTTTTTTAATACAATCTAAGCTTTCGGCTTTCTTAAGCCATTATCAAAGATGTCACTTACAACATATTAAGCAATATACGGGCAAGACAGTGATGATAGTCTGTCATTGTTTACATAGATGATTTTTAAACAACGATAAACACGTCCATATAAGACGCTAGAAGCGAAAATCGCACCGCATCTCATGACGTCACATATGACCACACGAGAGTGAATTGTAGAAGTATGGGAAGCCGTTGGTATAAACCAATGGCTTCTGTTACCAATTATAGACATTTAAGAATATTTGTAGAGATGCCATAGTCGATTTTTTTTTTAGGTTGGGTTTCAACTGTTTGATGTATAATGCTTCAATATATATTTTTAGTTTTTGTCTATTGTTTTCATGTCGAAGTATAATTGTGTTTTCGACAAGTATTTTACGGAATTGTGTGTGCGGGCAGGCATGTTGTTTTAAAATGCCTAAAAATGTTAGAGTTTTCATTCAAATGTAGTGTCAAGCGTCGTGAAAACGAGTTTGTGGTGTGACCAACATAAATATTATTTAATTCGTTGGAGATTTGTACTCTCCCAAAGGGCACTTGAATTTATAAACTATGTTGGTTTTTGCAAATGTTTATAATGGGAAGAAGAATTATTGCGAAAATTAAGTTGGATATACTAGATTTAGTGTCGTATATGATTAATTTAATTTTTTGCTAGAATCTGTAGTTTATAAATTCAGAAGAAGTGCCCTTTGGGAGAGTTTAGATTTCCAACGACAACACTTGTCTATATTATTTAATTAAAATATTATGAAAATATATATATATATATATATATATATATATATATATATATATATATATATATATATTATACTAATACAAAAATAGTCCTTTTTATAACAATAAACTGCATCTGGTAGCAAAAATCTGATCGGGAGATTGGAGGTTTTGGGGAGAGTGGAACCACCTCTTAATTGCTGCTGTTCCTAGGTCTACCCTGACCCAGCGTCGTAACACCTGTTCGTTTAAAAGCTGTGGGTAAATAAATGGACGAAAAAAAACAAAACATTATGAAAGTATAAAAATATATTTTTATAGCAAAAATACATGTTTATATAAAATTGACCAACAATACAATTTTATAGTAAAACTAGCAGCATGACCTGGCGTTGCCCGTGCTTGATTCAAAAATCGTACGACTCCTACAGCAATCGCTATCACTTGACATAAAATAGTTTTGCCCTTCCTTGCCTTTAAACGAGTGCCCTTTGCCGTGCTGATGTTGCTACATGCCTTACTTCTTGCCTATCTCACACTGCGAATTTTTTCTAAGCTCTATACTAAACATTAAATCTGTTACGAAAAAAGAACTGAACAAAATGAACACAAAACGATCAGCTTTAAAAAAAGGACTCGTAACTGGAAAAACCGAATGAAAAAAGAATGTTAAAAACAAATACTTTTTCACACCCAACCCAGTTCTGCGGAATCAGAATCAACGTTGAGTTGAAGCAAGCGAATGAGCCAATTGGAGTAAAGTGCCAAGCAAATTTAAATTTTTCCCACTTGTGACGAATGCAGCTATCGACTTTTTTTGCATGCTTGCATGCTAGCATGCTAGTTAACATTCGTGTCAGTCAGCCGTTTGCTCTCACACTGGCCAATAGAATCTTCCTGCCTATTCGCGGCAGCCAGCTACAGGCTCTCACTCTGGCCAGTAGAAAATGGCCGCAAACTACATGAAAACTGCCGTAGAAGCATGAAACAATCGATTATTTCCGCTATCGATGAGGGTTGGGAAATGCAAAGTCGGTCTTAGCCTTTCCGCTAACTTGGAGCATGTGCATATAAATTTTTGCTGCAAATCCGTCGAAAATTGCGGCCGTGCATGCGTTACAAACACACACACACACACACATCCTGCGTTTTATAGATAGAGATGACCGATAATATATTTTATAGAACGACCAACAACACATTTTATACCAGAATGACCAACAATAAATTTTATCTGCAGTTGAAGGCATACAATTGCGTTTAAAATATATTTAACTGAAACCGTAAAATTGTGTTCAAAATATTTAGATTCGGCATTAAATAACTGTTGAAACTTGACTAATGCATGGAATAATAATACAACACAAAATGTACTTAGAACAAAATGTATTGAAACAAGAAAGTGTACACAATATTTACATATAGTCTTTTATTTATTAAAAACATTTTTAAGTTTAACGTTCTTTTTTATAGATACAAATATTTAAGTAAATGCTCTGTTTATAATAAATAGTATTACATAACATTTACCGGCCTGAATGTCCGAGAAATTTTCATAGAAAATATTCGTCCTTTGACAGGATTCGAACCTGCATTCTATACGGAATCGTCATTAACGCTGACGTGCCTAACCTCTCGGCCACAAAGGAGCGTTCGGGAGGCCTGCTTTCTTCTTATTATTATTATTATTATCATTATTAATTTTTCTTAACTGTTATATTTCTCTTTCTTCTTTCCCTGATTTTCTTTTATTGTCTTATTATCCTCTTCTCTTTGCCTTTACCTGTTTTCTTCTTCTTCTTCTTCTTCTTCTTCTTCTTCTTATTATTATTATTATTATTATTATTATTATTTCTTTTCCTTTTATAGTGCTTCTCCTTATGTCTTTTTTTTTAAATTAAATAATGAAAAAAGAATATGATGTTTCCTAAGTAGCATTTTTAAGTAGAATCTATTAACCATTTTTGTTCATCACATGTCGAGATGCGTTCGCATCGAAACAAAAATGTATCTTTGTCGTGGGCACTTGTTTGTCCGTATGTAATATCTTTATAATAGATATATATACCATATATATATATATATATATATATATATATATATATATATATATATATAGCTACAAATTAAATTCATGAATTAGACTCTAACTGATAAAGATTTTACCTTAACTGTCATTCACAATATTAAAATATTACTAATAGTAAATTTTTATTGTTGTTGTTTATTAATATAGTATTCGACTTATATTAAATCCCTAATTTATTTGTGAAGAAGCTGAATATTTAAATTGCTAACAAGCATTAAATTTATTTTCTTTGTGGAGTTTTTAAACATTCAAATTACTATCAAACGTTAAAATCTATTTTTATCTAAATTGCTAAAGCTATACCACCCCTCTTCTTCCTCCAAAAACCCTAAATACATCTCTTTTCTCTTTACTTCCCCCTTTTTTCTTTTTCACTTTTTTTTCTCCTTTTCCTTTTCCCATATCATTTCCGTTGAGTTGACTGATTAAATAGGTCAATGTCTGATCCTTACCCCCCCTTCCTGAATATTAAGTATTATAATAAAAAGAAATATGAAAATAAATTTTAAAACTCTCCCTTCCCTCTCTAAACTCGACCATGTCTCTCATACCATTCCTCACCACCCTCTATGTCAACTTATATAAGCTTAATATTGCCCGTAAAAAAGTGTAAATTTAAAATTCATTTTTCATGTCACCTTTTGATAGTGAAGTCTGAAGATCCAGAGAAAAATAAAATTCTCTGGTGAAATAAATTATTACAATGGAGCCTTAAATTGGTCTGTTTTTTCTTTAAATTAAAATTATTCGCTCTGAATTAACATTGAGCTTTCAGGATTTCATCCTCCTTGGGATTATGCATACGGATTACTAAGAATTTTCATTACTTATATATATATATATATATATATATATATATATATATATATATATATGTGTGTGTGTGTGTGTGTGTGTGTGTGTGTGAAAATATATAGAAAACAGGAAATAACTCGTTAGGTAAATAAATTAAAGTTCTTTAGTATTTTTTTTATTTTTAAAAAAAATAGTGCTCGATACAAAAGTAGATTTAAATATAATTATTTATTTTAAAAATATGATTCCAACGCTTGGAATCATATTTTTAAACAAATAATTAATATCCGCCGTCAAAGATGATATTTTGTTATATTTACATAGAAAATTGCTATGCGACGATAACAGCCGCGGAAGACGAAGATCGTCAGTTCAAGATGCGGTTCTACGACGTCATACCACGCGACAGACCGAGGTATTAAAACAGAACCAATGTCTAGATAGAATATAATTACAGGTACACGACACAAAGAAGAAGAAAAGAAGATTCGACCGAATTCTGCAACAACCGGTAAGCCCTCACTTTTAGATTTCTTACCTGCACAGCCGTTACAACACCGTTACGCCCCCTTCGGTGGTAGCGAATGCTATGCTTTTCCACGCCCACAATTTATTCGTCTGCGATTGGCTAGTAATTCAATACTGCTTTTCTATAAGACAATTTAGCAATCGCAGTTATCACTTTGAATTTTTCGGTCTTGAACTTGCTCAAATGTTTCTTTGATACACAATCAGTATTTTGTCAAATTTTAACCAATCAAACATTTTAGTGCTAAATCAATTTTTCGTACATTTTCGTTGGGAGCCTATCGGTAGCTTTAAAAGAAGCAATTTTTCCACCATCCGCCAGTAGAGTCCAGCCATTTTCGCCTCTCCACACAAATCTACGACTTTACTCACAATATTTCAAACACGCACACAGATACAGATTTTTTTAATACATTATACATATCTCTCTCTGTGACTCAGCCAAGTTCATCAACCGAAACTCTATTAATTTCTCAAAACAACACATTTCTTAATTAACTGTATTCTATTCTAACAGCAAACTCTATTCAACATAGAATCCTGAACATTCTTATTCAAGAGTAACTCTTTCGAACATTCAATCATAAATCAGAATACAGTTGAAGGAGAACCACTTTTTTTTCCTTAATCATTACACTTCATTACATGATTGTTTTGTATGTTATATTTCAATATATATGTATTTGTTGATCCACAAATGGAGTTTCGTTGTTTTTTCTTGAATCGTTAAATGTGCAATAGATATATGCGCTAAGAACACGCATCACCCCCCTCATAAACGTCAAATTTATAAATAAGCACCCGATACGTTTATTCGAGGATATGCAGGAAGTCGGAAGTGGCTGTGTGTGATATCTAGCCATGTTCTAGGAAGAAAAGCTCCGTACGGGGCGGAGACAGCTCTTACCTTTCTAAATCCTCTGGGGTCAATGACACTGGGGGACTCGTACGACCAACACGTGCCTTCGCATTTGTTGAGACTTAACTGCACCCCACAGCGCACGTTCATTTGTCGACCGTGATGTTCAACATTTACGAATTTGTTGACGCGAATCTCCGAGCCGAGCGTTTCACAATCTTGACTTGACACGTGACGAACTGCGAGCATAAGAAGTGACGCAAGTGGAATTAGGTGCATGGCGTTCGCTCTTGGCAGCAAAAATGGCAATCTGAAAAAAAAAAGATAGATAAATAAATAAATAAATAAATATTGTATATATTACAAAAAGGCGATTTACTCCCCCCCTACACACACTGAGTCAAGTTGTGACACAAGATTAGTTTTTAACGTGGAGACCCGAGTGTTTCGACTCGGGCCGCTGGTCTAAGCTGGTCTTAGCTGTCGTAACTTGTCCAAGCTGGTTAGAGTGCGTCGAAGCTAGTCATAGCTGGTCAGAGCTTGTCCAACCTGGTCAAAGCCAGTTATAGCTGGTCAGAGCTTGTCCAAGCTAGTCAAAGCTCGTCTAAGCTAGTCATATCTGGTCAGAGCTTGTCCAACCTGGTCAGAGCTTGTCCAACCTGGTCAGAGCTCGTCGAAGCTAGTCAGAGCAGGTCAGAGCTTGTCCAAGCTAGTCAAAGGTCGTCTAAGCTAGTTATAACTGGTCAGAGCTCGTCGAAGTTAGTCATAGGTGGTCTTACTTACTCACAGCCTGTTCAAGCTAGTCAGAGCTCATCCAAGCCAGTCATAGCTGTGATACCACCTGTGCCAGGTAAGTATCCCTGTGACAGGTAAATATCAATATATTACAAAAAATATATACCTTTAATAACCTACACAATTTTTCCAATTGTCAATTATTAATTTATTTCTTACATCTTATTTCTATTATTCTTTATGGCATTCTTAGATGAGGTCGTATTTTTTACTGAAGCTGTTACCCCACTTGTCTGCCAAAGAACGTCTGCTAACGACAGCTAGATGACATTACAAAACGCACTACATATAGAAAAGGAGACAAATGTCTCTATCTTTTTCCTTTTATCTAGCACTAGCAGTAGAGCCCGGCGTTGCCCGGGGATGTAACAGTAAGAGATAGATCAAGTATCGACCATCATAAAGACTGAAAAATAAAATTGACAAAGATTATTGTTTAAGGTTGACGGACACGCATGTCTTAATTAGGTTTTTCCTTTTCTTTTTCTTACGAATTGGTCAAACCCAAACTCAAACAAAAACATTGTTTTCAATCGTTATGAGTTAATTTTATTATAAACAATTGTCATGTAAATGGAATTTTTAAAGCATTCTGAATGTAAAAATAAAGAAAAAAGTGTGCAAGACAATAAGAAACACAACCTGCCAAAAAAAAGTGTAGTTTTCTTGAAATCGGTTGAAAAATGTAGGAAATCCGATCCCATATATAAACGAACCCACACATACACAAACAACCTGGGTTTTATAATAAGCATAACTCGATATGAGTTGTCCCCCTTTCATGTCTCTTAATAGTGTTTCCAAATTGATTTCGTGCAAAAACAATTGTGTTTTTCCAATTTTGGGCGCTGTCAGAACCACCGTAGTCCTGTGAAGCTTTGTTGAAATCGGTTGAAAAATGTAGGAAATCCGATCCAATATATAAACGAACAGACACACACACACGTACACACAACCTGAGTTTTATAATAAGTATGATCAGGATAGCTTAGAGATGTGGTTCTTAACATTTTTTGAATCACGGAGCCATTTAGTCACAAACCCCTGGAATGACGACCCCATTAAGTCAAGAACCCCTATAAGAACTAGCCCTTCATAGACAGACAAGCTGATATTAAGAGTCTGATTGGTCTTTCGCAACACTTGTACGTGTACTTCTCTATACTGCTCCCTCATGTACACACATCACTTTTTAGCCAGCCCAGATTAAAAGAAACTGTGATCAATTAATCAGTGTATGAGAAGATATCTAAGCCGTGATAAACTTTTGGAAATGAGAATTATCACTTGCTCATATGGAGTGGCAAAAGATGGCGGTCGTGCAGAGAATGACGACACATATTTAAATGGTAAACATGGCAGCTACAGCAAGTCAAGAGACGCCTAGCGGCCGGCACTGTAACTAGTGGATTGGTCCGTTTTCTTTCAAGCAGTGGCAGGGTGTATTTTATTTTATTTCTTTCAGTGGAAAATCTTTGATTAGGATAAAGGCTATATGGCGAATATAAATACTGATTTTTATCTGATCCTTATGGACCCAGTGTTAAGAAGCCATGCTCTAAGCATTGTTACTTTAGTGGTTTTTTTAAGGAAATCAAATGTGATATATCATTGAATATTCGGTGTAACTCCGGGTGGCGTAATGGTTAGCTTTTCGGAAGAAGGAATTAAAGACCCGAGTTCGGTACATTCGCTTTCATTTTTATCATTTCACCTGAGAAAGGCGATAATGTCACTAAGACGCAAGGGAGTTAGTAGGAAGGAAAGAGAATGAAAATCACTTTAGTGAGTAGGAACGACAAAATATAACGAATACTTTAATTTTTTATCTGATACCAGGTGCTTTAAATTTGGATGTGCGGGTGTTACATTGGATAACAGCTCAGAATTAGAGATGTTGAACGAAATTTAGATCAATTAATCCTCACCAATATATAAGATCATCAAGCCGTGATAAACCACGGAAAAAGAGAATTATCACTTGCTCATATGGAGTGGCAAAAGATGGAGTCCATGCAGAGAATGACAACACATATTTAAATGGTAAACATGGAAGCTACAGCAAGTCAAGAGACGCCTAGCGGTCGGCTCTTTAAGTAATGGCTGCGTCCATTTTTTTTTTTTTTTCAAGTCGTGACAGGATGCATTTGTTTTTATTTCTCTCAATTGAAAACGGTTGATTGGGACAAGAGTTGTATAACGAATATAACTGCTAATTTTTATCTGATCCTCATGGGTTCCCGTAAATGCATCCATGAACTCCCCAGGTTAAGAAACTCTGCTTTAGATAGAGGATGTGTTTCGTTTCAATTGAAAAAAAAAAAAGGAAATACCTTTATTTCTAAACATTTACAAAATACCGTTTAAATATTGTTTGTACATTTGAAATTTTAAAAATTTATTAAAAAATATAAAACTAGAATTTATGAATAATTTATAATGAAAGATTATGAGCAAAATCCCCAAGATCGTCCATAAGATCTGGTCTATTTTTTAAACTCTCAAATAATGCGATACACACTGACAGGAGCATTGCTTACTAAATTTTCACATCGTTTGAATGTTTCAAATGTATAAACATTATTTAAAAAAATACTATTACCTCAGCATCTAAATGCTAAGCTCACAACTAGCTGGGCTACGACAGATAACCCTTAAATGCCTTCCTCCACCTCAAAATATTAAGATAGCTATGAAGGATTATCTCCCTTATCTTTATTATGTGTTGGAGGACGTGGATAATCACACGACCACAACCGTTCAGTGGATTGATGATGATGATGATGATGATTCCTTTTTTTAATCGAAGTGGATTGATGATGATGATGATGATTCCTTTTTTTTAAATATGCTCAATCTCTGTGTAATTTAGACAAGTGATTAACACTTGTCTAAATTACGCAGATATCCACTGGTGTGACAGAGAGAGAAAGGTGGGTTTATTAATCAACAGTTCTAAAGGATTGGGATGAAGGTATTAATTAGTTGGGTAGAAGGGATTCCGGAGTAATTCCAGAAATAAGTTTTTCTTTTTCTTTTTTTTAATTGTTTCTGGGGTTGAGTTATTAGTTAATTAGGTGAATTAATTTCAGAGTAATTAATGGACGGGTTCGTTAAGTAAAGTTTGTGATAAATGGTGAATTGGATTTTGGGTAATCTGTAGGGTGAAATACAGTCAAAGTCCTTAGACGAGATAAGTACTTTTCGCAAGGCTTAAGTGGATGATGCCTGCAGAAAACCTAGCAGGGAATCCGAATTCATTTTTAGTACCACTTGAGAACTAGTTTTCCGCAGAGATTCGGAAATTAGGCGGAAACACATGATGGTCAAGGCGATTTGCATATTAAAATTCATGGGCGGTGCCTAAAAATTGTTTAGCTCCGCCCCACTCTATATAAGCCGCCTGGACGCTTGAGTTAAAGAGAACGCGGACGAAGAGCGGAGAGAAATGGCGGAAAACGGCTTGGTGGATCTTGCTGGTCTGGTCAGTTGATTGTCCTGCGTCAAGAAGACCGATCTGAACCAAGAGATAGAAATAGAACCCGTATAAATCCAGATACTTCGTCAAAAAAGCTGTGAGAACGCTGACTGCTACATCGTAGGGTGCAGAGGAATATCCACGAATTACCCCCCTTAGATCAGCTGAATTCCTATCAGCATAATAATCGTCTTTCTCTCTCTGTGACTTTCTGGCCCAAAGGAGTGAATCTCGTTAAGATACTTTGTATTCGTGCAATTTCTTTGGTAGTGACATAAAAGCAATAGCCTTAAAAGGCTCTTGTTGCTTATTTTTTTTTATGTCCTTGCGGTTACGACAAGAACTTTTCTCTGCACGAATAGCGATTTCTTTCAGCGTAGAACCCAGCCATTTCATCCTTTACCACCGGACCGTTCTGAAGGATCGGGACACTGCTGTTCGGATCAAAAACTCACAACGTGGCGAATAGAGGTGATTCCTTCAGCTCACCGGAGGAGGACCAGGTGGTTTTCTCTTTAGCGGCCAGAACCACCGGGGAGACAAGATATAACTGCTGGCGGCTGGGCTTTTACGTTAGACTGGTATGTCAATTCCCTTGTCTAAATTATACATTGTTTACTAAATTTTCCCATCGCCTGTGCTATATTCTAGTTTTATATTTTTAATGAATTTTGAATGTTAAACGCTATTTTGTAAATGTTTAGAAATAAAGGAATTTCCCTTTTTTTTTTTTTTTTTTTTTCAATTTCTCCCAAACATTATTTTTCGGGAATCTGATCTTTCAGGATTTTAAATTTCTGGATTCTGATCTTTCGGAATTTTAAATTTCGGGATTATAATCTTTCTGGATTTTATATTTCGGGATTCTGATCTTTCAGGATTTTAAATTTCGGGATTCTGATCTTTCGGAATTTTAAATTTCGGGATTCTGATCTTTCGGAATTTTAAATTTCGAGATTCTAGTCTTTCATGATTTTAAATTTCGGGATTCTGATCTTTCGGGATT